CCGAGCAATACTCGGGGAGGGGTTGGTGGGGGGGGGGGGCACAATTGACTGACCTAACCGAGTAATGATGAGGGAAAACTTTTGTCTTTGACGAAATAGATATGGAATTTGATTGCTGCGTAGATTGGATTTTTAAAGTTCAGGGTTATCTGTATTCTGTAGGTGTTTTTTCGACTGTCTGCTTCCCACGCACACACACATACACATAAACACGCGCACGCACACACGCACACACGCACACATACACACACACGCACGCACACATACACACACACGCACGCACGCATACACATACACATAAACACGTGCACGCACGCACGTACACACACACGCACGCACACACATGTACACACACAGGCCCATGCACGCATACACGCCTACGCACGCACGCACACACACACACATACACACACACGCACGCATGCATACACGCCCATGCACGCACGCACACACATACACGTAAACACGTGCACGCATGCACGTACACACACACACGCACCCACCCACACACGCACGCACACACATGTATACACACAGGCCCATGCACGCATACATGCCCACGCACGCACGCACACACACATGTGCCCCCCCCCCAGCCCACGCACGCACGCACGCACATACGTCCCTTCTCCCAATAAGCGTGTCAAATTTATGAACGACTTCAGGCGATTTTCTCCCAAGAAAGAGACTAAAAAAAACATCTTCATTGATGTTTTTTTTTCTGCAGAAGGAGGACATCCCGGCCATCCTCGGCTACCTATCTCTGCATCAGTCTGGTGACACACTCACCCTCAAGTGGACACCCAACCAGCTGATGAACCGTTCATCGGAGGATAGCACGACAGCAGACCCCGCAGACAAGAGGTGCGTATGCGAGCGTTGCCGTGACGTCAGCGTTGCCATGGTGCAAGCGTTGCCATGACGTCAGCGTTGTCATGGTGCGAGCGTTGCCATGACGTCAGCATTGCCATGGTGCGAGCGTTGCCATGGTGCGAGCGTTGCCGTGACGTCAGCGTTGCCATGGTGCGAGCGTTGCCGTGACGTCAGCGTTGCCATGGTGCGAGCATTGCCGTGACGTCAGCGTTGTCATGGTGCGAGCGTTGCCGTGATGTCAGCGTTGCCATGGTACGAGCGTTGCCGTGACGTCAGCGTTGCTATGGTGCGAGCGTTGCCATGGCGCAAGCATTGCCATGGTGCCAGGGTCGCCACGACGATCGAGCGTTGCCGTGATGCAAGCGCTGCCGTGACGCAAGCGAGCGGATTGGCGAGCGTGCGGAATCATCGCGTTTGTTCGTCGTCGTCGTCGTCGTCGTCGTTTGTTATTTGTGCATTAAACTCGCCCTGCGGCTAGCGCGCGGTGATTACACCCAGGCACGTTTACACTGCATCCAGTGCCGCAAGTAATCATCAGTGCTGCAGAGGCCAGGGTTCTGCCCAGGATTTTTTAGTGCCGGGCGCATCGAGTTGCGACGAAGTTGCAAGATGCAAGCGCCGTAGGCGCGAAGCCAATCTAGGGGGGTCCGGGGGCATGCCCCCACGGAAAATTTTTGATTTTGGATAGTCTGGAACTCAATTTCCTGCATTCTGAGCAATAAAAAGCCCATATATCAGACTTTTTCTTTTTTCTTTTTTTTTTATATCAAAAATTTGTGCCGGGTGGAGATATATAGTGCAGGTCGGCAACCGCGAGTGCCGGGCACACTCGCCCACCGCCGCCCACCGTGGGCAGAACCCTGGAGGGTACGTGGAACCGTAGCGTGCGAGTAGAGCTGTGTGCATTGCTGGCTGGCTAGATTCAAAAGGAAACTTCTAAAAAAATGGAGGGAAAAAAATTCATAAAAATGAAAGTATCACATGATTGAAAATAGTTCATTTGTGCGTGAAATAATTTATATGCTAGGAACGAAATTATATCATTTATCAAGTAATTGGTTGTTATTAGGTTTATAATAATTGATACATCGTGCAGATATCCTAAGCACTTGGATAATTAAATCTGGAAGATCCTGAAATATGAATATAATGTGTAATAATATAAATTAATGTGACCAGAGTACATGTACATATTACAATGATAACATGTGCATTCTACATACTTATGGTTTGACAAAAATGGCGACAACAAGATATTTATTTTCGTACCTTTTTTTATTTTGTAATTTAAAGCGAGCAAAGGTTCCGGCGCTGCCGATTATGAAAGACATAACCTTAGGTCAAATTAAAGAAGCGACTAAATAATGCAATAAGAAAAAAATAATGAGTGCAATAAAGATCAGAGCCATTAGGATTGAAAGTTGTAGGAAATGCGGCTATTAGTGTTTGCCATTTCTCATATCTCCGCCAAGCCGTGGCTTTTCAGTGGAGAACGAGCAAACGTTCGGCGGCCGCCATTTTTCTTGTACGAGTTTATTTCTGCGTCTGTTCATTTGTTTCTCTCTCATTTATTTCGTTTTTGCGTTTGTGTTGCTTTTCGTTTCGCTACAGCGTGATGTTTGCGAACACGTGTCCGTCGTGTTGGAACAGGAAACCTCGAAAGGCGCAGTGAGTATGCAGCATATGTGCTATCGGCTGCTTTCTGTCCTACCACCGCCTCACCACTTCTAGCTAGCCCAGTAGTGCTAGAATCAGGAGTGTATAATATAGAGGACTGTATATCAGGAGTGTATATAGTCTATATTATACACTCTTGATAGGATATGTGATGTCTAATCAGTTGCAGTTGATGTGGTGGTGCATCGTGTCCTGATGTGACAGTTGATTGTTTGGTGGTGGGGTGTGCTGATTAACCAATCACAAGCTGTGTCGTAATGACTAACCAATCACAAGCTGTGTCGTAATGACTAACCAATCACAAGCTGTGTCGTAGTGACTAACCAATAATATGCTCCGTCGTACGAACTAACCAATAAGTCTATATAAAGAGTTGTGGCCTCAGTCATTGAAGGTTGCCATAATTAAAAGCAATCACAGCTTCATAACGTTTAACTGCACGAATTAACCAATCACAAACTAGGTGGCAGACTGCACCATTGCGCTAACCAACCAATCACAGGCACCGGTGTTGGCCACCTATATATGCGCTATAGTGAAGGAACCAATGGCAGGTGCAATGGTGGCGGGCTGTATAATCACTAATCTGCTCCCTGTGTGGCTAACTCACAAGTATGCATTGCTAGCAGATGTGTATGTATCATACCTTGTTGAAATAACTTGCATGTTGCATTAGATTTTGTGCAAGCGCGAGAGAGACCACTCGCTTACCCTCCCTATAGTTCCCGTTCACCGTTTTATCCTCAATGTGATTCCCCCTCTGACTGTGATTCTACAATCCTACTAAGAAACAGAAAACTAACTAACGGACAACAAACTAGCCCAGAAGCATGTATATGATTTCATTCGTGAACCTGGTAAGAAAAGATAGGGGCTTGACTTTCTAATTGCTGGCAAATTAAATCCGAACACAACCCGGTCGAATCTAGACTGCGATGATGGCGACAGGTTGAAACGCTGCGGCCATTTTCGAATGCAGGTGAAGTTATTCGGGCGCATTTTCTTGCAGCATATACTGGGATTATGCAATCACCGTTATGATGGATGAGATAGTCTACCTGCACTGCCACCAGCAACGTGAGTAGAGAGAGAGAGAGAGTGGAGCGAGGGGATAGAGAGAGAAAGAGAGAGAGAGAGAGAGAGAGGGAGAGAGAGAGAGAGAGATCGAGAGAGAGCTAGAGAGAGAGAGCGAGAGCGAGAGCCAGAGCGAGAGCGAGAGAGTAGAACGAGAGGGTAGAGTGTGGGCAGAGAGGCGTGATGGGTGGTCATACAAGATGTTCAACAACGTGTGAAGAATAGAGGATTGAATGGTCGACTGTGGAAATGAACAGCAATGTGTTTTTGTAAAGAAGATAGACTCGTTACCATTGAAAATGTTCAGCAATGTGTTTTTGTAAAGAGGATAGACTCGTTACCATTGAAAATGTCCAGCAATGTGTTTTGTAAAAAGGATAGACTGGCAGCCATTGTGAGCAATGCGTTTTCTAGAGAAGATAGACGAGACTACTCCAGAGTGTAAATGTTCAGCAGTGTTAGTTGCGTAAAGAGAGAATTTCACGCTTTTTAGGCTGAGCTGGACAGTTGTGATCATTAAATGTGTGCAGTTTGCTGAAGTGCATATATTTGTTCGGCCTATCATCGGAAAGATCATTATGTTTTATTAGAATTTAATTGTGATGTGGAAATTTTTACCAAACGGTATGGTAAATAAATACAATGTCAGACTGGGAATTTAACTTGAAGGACAACTTAATGGTCTTCAAGGTTTTATCAGCTTCATTACAACATTAAATTTCACTCTAGTATTGCTCGAAATTCGTTTAACTTCAATAACAGCTGTCGCCAAAAAACGTCCAAAGCGATAATCCGTGTTCCGTGAAGGTTTTAATTTACGTTTTTTGGCAACGTTCTATCGAATCGATAATTGCGCGAAAGGTTTTATTTTACGTTTTTGGCAACGTTCCAGCAAACCTCGGCGGGATGCTGGTGCTCGTGGGCCAGGATGGTGTGCAGAGGCCTCCCATCCACTTCCCAAAGGGCGGCCATCTTCTCCAGTTTCTCGGTTGCCTGGAGACCGGCCTTGACCCTCGCGGTCAGTTGGACCCACCGCTGTGGTCGCACAGAGGTAAAGGTACGTCGCTCGGACGCATCCCGGCCCTCTAGTGGTCGTTATTATCATTATTAAATCAGTTGGACCCACCGCTGTGGTCGCACAGAGGTAAAGGTACGTCGCTCGGACGCATCCCGGCCCTCTAGTGGTCGTTATTATCATTATTAAATC